GTAATACCTGCCAGGTCCGCACCCCCCTCCTGAATAAGATCTTGAATGAGGGGGGCCTTATTTACCACGGACCTGGCATTACACAGCATCAGTCGGTGATCCCGGGGCCGGGGATCTAAGATCCCTGGGGGTCGAGTTGAGTCCTGAGGACCGGAGCACCCACAAGCTTGTAAGCAGCGTGTGCGTGCTCCCAAAACCCAATATGGTCCTCTGCTCCCGCCATATCTGCCCCTCCCACTGACCGTACCTATCTAAGGTACGGTCAGTGCCCCTCCCACTGACCGTACCTTACTAATCTGGACTTCATAGTTTATAAACAAATACCTAGGATTGCTTGAAGCTTAAAGTGAAAAGAAGCTTAAAGTGAAAAGAAAAAAACAACAACCACAGATCAGAAATGTAAATTGTAGAGTTCAAAAGAAGCAAAAATCCAGGCAGGTTTGACTTATGAGAACATGAGCAAGCTTCCTTATCTCTGCTTGTGGTACATGTTTTCATGCTTCCTAAGGGAGTTTGGAAAGCATTAAGAAATGGAATACCACTGCTATTTCTGTTTAATGTACCTTGCAAATCGTACAGGAAAATGCATAAGGAATGAAGCACTGAACTTGGACAACAGGGTGACACAAATAACATTAATATAAGGTATATCTCCGGAGTTCATGCCTCAGGAGCAATGGTATATGAATAAGCACCCAGGATGCCAAGAATACACAAAATGCATCTTTCCATTTAAGAAAGCTGCACTTTAACCTAAAAATATCCTTGGGGATTAGAGATGGAAGGGAATCTTGATTAATTTGCATTTGGAGATAAATGTAATAAAATTACCCTTCCTAAATCAATATGGAACTGGAATCCAATTATCCTATGGTATTAACATTTCTCAGAATGTTGCAGTACAATCTCCTACACAAAAAAATTATATGAAAAATGTGTGTTTCAGGGGGATATGCATATGTAAAACAGATTTAAGGGAAACTCCTTATATAAATTAGCAAATAATCAGACCATGTCCCATGGAAATACCCTTGCCTTGTGGATGTGCTACTGAAAACAAAAGATGTCCTTGGGAAGGGCATTAGAGTGAATCCTTAGGACTACTGGCTCTCCAGTATAATGGCTTCTTCACTGACATTGTTTGAATCAATGAATCTAGATGCATCCCATGGACTTCAGTGGATGAAGCATCTTGGAACATTATCTAGTTTCCTTAGCAGGTGCAACACAGCAGTTTCTTGTCCATTTGACTGACTTCCTTTTCCAAGCTATAATCATGAGTAGATCTTTGACGTAAGAGTGAAGTTAGTAAGCCACGGGCAGGGAGATATGGCCCTGGGTGAAGAAGCAGAGCCATCTCCTGCTTCTAATCATCTTCTTTGTGCAAGCGAAAGAGTTAAGCCAACTTCTAGCACAGGCTGCAGGACCGCTCATGTAAAGCTAATTGCTTAGGTCTCGGTTTGTTGTGATGGAAAGGGGAGTTAAATTCCCTTTACAGCACAACAGATGGGCTGCTTTGAATGCATTCAAGCGTACCCCTGAAATTCTGACTGGATCTTATGTCAAAAGTAGCATGCAATAGCAAGGCTGTGTGTTTTGTGAGTTGAAAGAGTAAATACAAACATGCAAACCTTTCCACATACTTTAGATAATAAACAGGGCGTGTGTATAAGCATCCAAGCACAAAAAAACAATAGAGATAAAATACAACATGATATAATTCACCTAAGCTTTCACCATGTACACGGTGTGTGCACCCATTTCCACAGGTATACACACAAAATACTTTTACATGGGTGAGAAAGTGCTGATCTGCATGCATGATTTGAAGGCATGGGAATTTGACATGAGTATGTCTGAGGACAAAGAACTGTACAAACATGTGTAGGAGAGAAATTAGGATTTTATTCCTCTTGTAGACGTCAGACTTGTGGGCGAGATGAGGTGAGATAGTGATATTGTTTGTGTTAACTTCTGTACGTGGGAGAAAAAGAGATTGAAAATATCTGCTTTGCTGGAGTTTAGATAGGCTGATGCTTTTTTAGAAGCAGCCATTGGTTTATTTTGCTCTCTTTGGTTGTAAAGAGATAGTGAACCTTTACTGGCCCACCAATACTTGACTATTGGGATCACCCAAGCATAGTCTCTTTCTCTTCTTTGTCACCAACACAACTCAGTCATAACTCTTAAAGCTCCAGATGCTCTTTTTTCTTCCTTTTCTGTGGAAGAAAGCATGCTTTTCTTCTGTCTGTGGCAAAAACAAACTTGAGAGCATTTTTTAGGTCAATTTACTGTAAAGGAAATGGGCTGTGAAAAAAAATCCACAGCAGCTTTCCCCTGATGGGATAGACTCCAAATACATATTCAGCCTGACTAGTTCTCAGAAAAGAGTGAAACTCTGCCTTTTATGATGTGTGTCCACTGAGAATAATTGTTCCAAGTTGATCTTGTGAGCTTCATAGCTAAGTAGAGAATGAAATCTTGGCCTTTCTATACCTAGTACAGCACTCCAACACAATCTGTGCGCCTGTGCCTTCGAGTCAACACGGATTCCTCGTAATGGCTTGGACTAGTCGTTTTTGTGACAAGATTGCAAAGTAGTTTGACTTTGAGGACTTCCTAGGGCTGAGAGAGAATGACTGGCCAAAAATCACCCAGCTGGCTTTGTGCTGAAAGTGGCTGTAGAACTCATGCTGGTTTCTTGTTTAGTGCCTTAATTGTTACACCTAAAGGGTTCTCTATTGCCTGTCTGTAATGCAGCTCACTATATGTCTCCTACATCTTACAGCTATTATTTCATCCAGATGAAGAATGGCTCGACATGAAACTTTTGTTCAATATTGGACATATCACAGCAGGCCCATTTAACATAACTCTAATATGAGCTCTATTAGCTCCCATGGACTTCTGGGTATAATCTAAGGTGCTGACTCTTAGCTTTGAAGCTCTACATGGCATGAATCTCAATTACTTGCAGGATTGTCTATTCCAGTGGTTCTCAACCTGTGGGTCGGGACCCCATTTGGGGTCGATCAACCATTTCACAGGGGTCGCCAAGCAAGGCTGTCTGCCATTTTTTTTGTCCGCCATTTTTTCCCCTTTTCCGGCGGGTGCCTTACCTCCCTTGGGCTGGGCCAGCTGGTGGTCGGCCTGCTCCGTCTCTGCCGCTTGCCAGCTACGCCTTGGCCGGCGCAGGGGGCGGAACCACGCATGTGCGGCGCTCCCGGGCAGGGAAAGTCCTCGACATACGACCGGTTGGGTAGTCCTTGACTTACGACCGGTTTAGTCCTTGACTTACGACCGGTTTAGTCCTCGACTTACGACAGGTTGGGGTCGCGGCATTAAAAAGATTGAGAACCACTGGTCTATTCCTAATAGTGTCTGTCTGTCCCACCAGACACGACGAAGTGGACGTGGATTGGTTCCCCTTGGTGAAGTAGTGTCATTTGTTGGGACCTAGGGAGTGTGCCTTCTCTGTCATGGGGACAACCATGTGGAATAACCACTTCCTCCCTTTTAGATGGCCTAACCATGTGGTCTTCCAGAAGATTTAAAGACTTGCCTTTTCTGCCCTGGGCACTGGCGCTAGGATGTTAGTAAAGTCTGTGTGTGTGTATATATGTTCATTATGTGATTAGGATAATTTTTATGGGAACCTCAATTATATTCTTTTAAGTGATTTTATTGGTTTGTTGTGTGTGTGTGTGTGTGTGTTTTGTTTGCCACTCAGGCACTTATATAAAGTTGTCAAAAAAAATAGCCTAACTCAGGGGTAGGCAACCTTGGCTCTTTTATGACTCGTGGACTTCAACTCCCAGAATTCCTGAGCCAGCTGTGCTGGCTCAGGAATTCTGGGAGTTGAAGTCCACGAGTCATAAAAGAGTCAAGGTTGCCTACCCCTGGCCTAACTAAATAAACATAACAACAAGAAAAACACAGAAAGCAGGACTCCCCCCCCCAATATTCATGCTGTAATTTCCAGTGCAATGACACAACTCTATCCCAGATTTATATCTGTTTCTCCTCAAACACCGTTAGGTATCAAGCCCATAACCTTCCTCTGTCCATTTTTTTAAAGATATTCATCAATTTTTGGTGAGCATCCATTATTATCTTTTAAACAACACAGATTTTAGCTCTTTAGTTTTCAGCTATAAGCATTCTTTTGGTACTAATGTTGACTGTAATCTTGGTTCATGTTCCCATAATTATGATGAGAAATGTTCAGTTAAACAATTACAGTAATTTCCCTTTTTGAGAAGTAGGGTGAAGTATCTTGCTGCAGCCTTATGACTCCCTGGAGCTGTCCAGCTTACTTTTCTGCATATGATTGACTCCTGCTGATCTATTAGTGAGGGCTCATCTGATTTACTTCTGCATGGTACATCCTGCTGAGAGTTTTACTCATATTGCTGGCTGCTATCAAAGTATTTAGCTAGGAAAGTATGTTATATTTCATTTAGAACTAGAAGATGGGCTTTTTCTGCTATAGCCCTGCCTTGTAGAATATTCTCTACTTGAAGATTAGACGAGACCCAACGCTGTTGGCTTTTCGCAAAGCTTTAAAAACCTGTCTGTGTACCCCAGGCCTGGGGCTTGGAATGTGTTAAGTGTCCTGTTACTTGCCTTTACTATTAGTTGATTAACCATGATGGCTGCTGTTTATACTTATCTATTTTGTAGATGTTCATTGTTTCTACAGTTTTAAAAAATATTTTAAGTATTTTATAATTTTATAATTGTAAACCGTCCAGAGTCACTTGGTTGAACTGAGTGGCTATAGAAACTGAATAAATAAATAAGTAAATTTCAATGGTTTTACTAAATACCCACAGGTCTGTACGTATACGTACAGCTAGCATTTCCCCCCAGAAGGGGAAGAGATCTCCAGTGTGCTAGTACTGCAGTTGTGTGGGTCAGGACATATAATAAAAGCATTTAAGAGTAGCAGTTTTTAGATGGAACTCGCTTAAATATATACCTTATGTGTGGTTCTGCATCACAAAAAAATAATATCAGAGTCTCTCATTATCTTTCACAACATGATATCCCTGACTCCGATGCAGCATAGCATATCTGTGTAACTTTAATAGAACAACTTTCTAGACCATCAGGGACTCCCTAGCACTGGGGCTTTTGAATTCAAAGGCATCCTTTCTTCTTTTGACAAGCTTTTTGAAAGCAAAGACATGAACAGAAATTCAAAGAGAAAAGAATGACTCACCCTACAGTTGCCCAGTTCTTCAGCTGACAGAATGATGGTGCCACATTTTTTCCCTGGAATTCCTCTATAATAAGAGAGAAAATAGTTTATGAAGTTTGTAGAAAAGGGAGGAAAGAGACAGTTTGGCTGATGTTTCCATCCATCTTTGCCCCCAGTATAGAATAATGTCAATTTTGTTTTTCTGTTCCATTTGCAGTGTCTCCTTTTATGAAACTCCAAAATGCCAGCATTAAGTTTGAATTTCCCAAACTTCTTTTCTACATTCTGCAATGGAGTAGAAAGAAGAAGAGATAGCTTTGAGGGACAGGCTAAAGAGCCACTACCAAGGCAAAGGCCAGATAGAGGATGAATCAACGGTTGGAATGTAATACAAGTAAACAAACCCATTGTTTGCATGAAGATACAGGGAGGGAGGGGGGAATCATGTTCAGACTTGCACAAATCTGCCATTAGGGCTGACAATACTGTGTTTTGATTAAGGTTTTGATCAACACACTTTCAATGCAGCTCCATGAAGCATAAAGATGCCCTGTGTTCGGTGCTGTGTGAAAACATCCTGTGAAATCAGCCCCAGACAATCTCTGATGAATGTGTGTGCATGCATAGAAGATATATTTGCCAAAGCAGAGTAGCTGGGCTAAGCAAGTTGGCCCGCCCAGAGGTGAAATGCTTGACCTTTCCCTGTCAAAATACTGCCTTAAAGCCCAAAGCTCCATTTCCATCAAGTGAAGCAGGACCACATAACACAGGGGGCCAGACGTGTCACCCGGAAACTGGGCCCACCCCATTGCCGGCAATGGGGAAAAAGCTCCGATACGTTGCGCAACGTCACGTGATGTCGCAAGTTTGACACGTCTGACATAACACAATTTTGGTTTAACTACTGAGTGCCTGTGTTAGATGGAGATAGTAGGCTTTATACATAGTAATAAGCATGTTCTTTTATGTTCTATTTATTAATTATTTTACTGTTGTATGGTTTGGATTCCCTTATAAATGTCTCAGTAACCCCTGTACATCTTTCAGGGAACTCTGATAGGTGGATTAAATTAACCAAGATAACCAAAGTGTGTAGCTTTTTCAAGCATCAGACTTATTCTTAGCCTCTCTTTAAAATACTGGAGCCATTTCTAGGGGTTTTAATTAATCTACTATTGATGGTTGACTTTATGTGTGTGTTTCTATGTGGAATTGGTTGCTGGCTTGCTGCAAGTTATCATTTTGCTGACAGCTGACATGGTAAAAGTATCTTAAATATTACAAATTAAAATGAGTTCTTTCAAACATCAAATATGTTTTCAAAGGTGGTATAAAATCTGAATACCAAAGAAAGGTTTTTTCCAAGTTAAAACCATATGATGGTTTGGGGCCAATTAAGCCACTGCCCGAATGTGAAGCAACTGAACTATTTATTTGAATGCTCATATCAAGTTGACTATTGAGAGACATAACTCAAGATAGAACAAATCTAAGAAGAAAAGCAGTTTACCTGAAACCCCTTTTTTCTTTTTAAAAAAGTGTCAGTTTTATGATTTTGTCCACTTAATTCCACACAGACAGATGATGTCTTGGATAATGATGGTTCAAAATGGATTTAATCTTCAGAGCTGATGACAAGTCTATTTGTTCATGGAGTATGGAAATTAGAAGTATGACAGTGAATAACTAATATGATCTTTCAAATATAAATCACATAAAGCTCTAAATTATATCAGAAGGATTACCCTACTTATGATTTCTATTATTTTCATTCACCAATAGATGAAGAAAGGATTTGTTTAGAAAAATGATATGGTTATACATACAGATTCAACTAATAATAAATGGAAATATGAAAATATTATATTTCTTATTCTGTGTGGCGATTGATGCCTAATGATCACAGCTCCAAACTCTAAACTCTCTTCATAGTCAAAGTCAGAACTAAAGTGGTCAGTGTGAATAATTTGCATTACTTTCATAGGCAAGGTTTGATTTTAAATATCATCTCTCAAATGGCAAATGGAGTAAGGTAATGGAGTGGTGGACTCAAAATCCTGGTTTGTGGTAATGGCCACCAACTGTGATGAGTTTTTCCCATGTATCAATTTGAACATGACCCAGCAGGTGGCAGCACATAGCCAGATTTGATTGATCTCAAATCACTTTTGAAGAACTGGATGCAATTAATTCTTGGATGGGAGACCACTAAGGTCCCAGGCAAGATTGGGAAGTCAAAACATTCCTTGAAGGAAACAATCGGTTCTACAGTCAGAAACTACCTGGAGCTGTCCATGGTAACATGATCTTAACCAAAACAAGCCAACTCTAGTATTATGTGCTGGCTGATGCAATAGATATTGCAGTAATCTTTGCTACGATTTTGGATATTATTCCTTATAGGTTGTTATTGTTTACTTTCTGCCTTATATTTCATCTATGTTCCCTTTTACCACCACTTTTCTTTAAGGGGCATCTTTCAATCTGGAGCTCTCCAATTTCCTCAGAGAGATGGGAAGAGCCTTTTTGCTCATTCATTCATATTATAGGGCTGCCACTTGCCGTGTGTGTGTGTGTGTGTGTGTTAAATTTGTGTTATATTTCCATATAATAGAAAACACTGTCATACAGTTGTAGGGTTGTAGTTGGACATGTCATGTATCTGAAGGGAAGCAAGTATCAATCCGCCTGTCCACAGATATCAGCAGTGGTGACTTCCAGTCAGGATGGGATAACTCGGAGCAGCCATGTTTAATTCACCAGGGCTAATTCACCAGGGCCAACTCGCTTCGGGACAACTCGTTGCAGGACAATTAAGCAATTCAATTATTAAAAATAATTAAAACGTTATTTTAATTTTTGTCATTCACATTTTATTTTGTCCCTCCTTTGGCATCCTTTCTTTAATGCTTCTATTCCACTATTTCTTCAATATTAGTGTGACTCTTGTCCCATGGTGAGTTGTTCCGTGACAAGTTGGCCATGGTGAGTTTTTCCCAGAAAGGTTCAAGAGATATTCATGTTTGTTTACTATATTTCAGCTTTCTGTTGCAGATTTAAGAAAAGAAGAACAATTCAAGACCACAAGGAATTCTAAATCAGGCATAGAATAAATTTTGGTAATGTTATTGTCTGGCAAAAACACTCACCTCTGAATTTTTTTTTTTAGACAACACATATCTAGTCTCCTGATTATAAGAATTGGCTACATGCTTAACAATCCACATATTTGCCAAATATATGTGATTATCCAGGTGATTTTGTGAACACACATGATATATTTAAATACAGATGACTGGATATTCAAGATCCAAGCTCAGTCAAGACCCACACTGGATGTTATATTCAGGAAGGAGGAGGAGAAGCCCAACAGATTTGGCACTACCTGCTTTGAATATTAAATAGGAATGGTGATATGTGCCTTCCCCTTCTCTCCACAGTTTATCAGTTGAGTTATTATGGGAATAAATGAGACAAGAGTTGTTGAATTCTCACTAAAAAATGAAAAGAATGATAGAAAGAGCCAACAGTAGTAGGCTGAGTTTGCCAAGATCACATCTGAGCTGTTGTGGACTTGATCACAATAATGATAACTGAGTTCTATTACATTATGTTGTTGCATGTAAATTCTCCATCAAAGCATAAATGAAGCACTCCATCAGCAAAATTAGATTACTTTGATTTTGACCAATATTAATGCTAGGATAACCCACTGTAGGATTTTTTAAAAAAATTAAATAGATATCTCATAATTTGGTAAGAAAGACTTTGGTGCCTCATGCAGTTTATATTGATATTTTGAATGGGTGGAATGCACCAACCCTTCTCTGTTTTCTAATCTGCAGGAAAGCTTAAATATGACTTACCCATTGGAGACAGATGGCATAGGCTTCCCAGTTTTGGAATGCAACGTAAATGCTCCCATTCTGAAAAAAAGAATAAAAAAGACTTAAAATTATAATTTATTTATGTTATTCAATCTATACGTCTGCATATCTCACATAAGTCACTCTGTGGGTGAACACAATTAAATATGTTAACATACTAATGCAAAATGAACATAAAAACAGTATATGAGAATAAAACAAAAATGCAGTATTAATTCCCACAAGTACCATTTCTACTCTTTTCATTCCATAACACCCTGCATGATTGTTTTTCCCCCATTCTCAACTAATGCTTTATCATAACCCAGGGCTGGTTGGTTTTCTCATTTTGCACAGAGCACTGAAGTAATAAAACATTCAGCAATAAGATCACATATAATTCAACACTATAAATCAGAAATTGTCAGCTTCTTTTGAACCAAAAGGCATTTCTAACATCTGAAGGGCCCGTCATGGGTGCTCTGATAAAATGGCAGTTGCAAAATGCTGAATTATCAAATGTGAATTACAGGTAGTCCTCAACCTTCGACCTCAATTGAGCCCAAAATTTATGTTGCTAAGTGAGAAATTTGTTAAGTGAGTTTTGCCCCATTTTATGACTTTTCTTGGCACAGTTGTTAAGTGAATCACTGCAGTTGTTAGTAACACAGTTGTAGAGTGAAACTGGCTTTCTCATTGACTTTGCTTGTCAGAAGGTCGAAAAAGGTGACCGCATGACTCTGGGACAGTGCAACCCTCATAAATGTGGGTCAGTTGCCAAGCATCTGAATTTAAATCACATGACCGTGGGGATGCTACAATGGTCAGAAGTGTGAAAAATGGTCATAAGTCACTTTTTTGGTGCCATTGTAACTCCAAACGGTCACTAAATGAACTGTTGTAAGTCAAGGACTACCTGTACTCAATTTATACCTTGTCATCCTTTCACTTCTTTCCTTCCACCCCACCCTCCTAAAAATACTTCCTGCCACCTTCCTTCCAAAGTATCCACCATTTTTATTTTTCAAGAATGCCTGTAGGAATTTTGCAGGATCAGAGACACCTCAGAAATAAATAAAAAAATCATACTTAGATGTGAATTTGTCTAATCAAAAGGGTAAAAAAATGAGTTGGTGAACCAACTCATTACCCCCATTCATAAATATTCCCAGATGAAATACAAACGTAAACATTTGTTTAGCAATATCTTCACTATGCATTGCCCTAACTAAGATTCATTGGAATAGGAAAGTAGGAAACATCTGTTTAATTGTGATGTTTCCTACTTTCAAAAACCATCCATATTCTAACCTTGATAATCACTTAAAACTCTTCTACCCCATCTATCTTGGCTTGACATTTTGACATTGAACTTTCTTACCACTCTTGAGTCTATCAGCTGCATTGTGCCTATGTTTTCTGTTATAAAACTGATCACATTTACTGATGATTGTCATTAGCAACTTTGGATGTGGGCTTGGTTAAGTGATACAATGCAACGTTCCACTTTAAAGGCAATCTGAGGTTGTCTCTGTGTAAATTAATGCACTGCATGTGTGTGAAATATTCTCTCAGGCTATATGGCTCAATAAGCCAAAAACTAACAATATAGGCTAGATTCATTCACAATTCCAGGATAAACTGTGGTTAGCTAGGTTATTTAATGTGTTATTGAATAAACCAACATCAAGCCACATACATCAAAGACTCAGTTCAGTGTAAGTAATTGAAATTGTAAAGTGAGTGATATAGAAGTGCAAAAATTGATAAAAACATTTGACAACAAACAACATGAGCCCCTGAAAGGATAAACAGAAATTCCAGTAAGATTTGGGGATGTTGTTTGAACACGAGCTGAACTCATCAACTGCAACAGAAATTCAGAAGTGAATTTCCCTTATGAAGTTCCCAATAATATCTCCCAGTATGCAGTTATATGATGAACGAGGAAGGAGACTCTTCTGGCCATGATGCCCTGAGTCCTGTTTCTGTTCACTCGCCCGTCCCGATTCTCCTTCTTTACAAAGATCCCCCTGAGATCACATGCAGCACAGAGATATGATAATTGTAGAATCTGCACGCCTGCCAATGCTTAATACACAGCATGACCTTGACAAAAGGTCTTAGCTCTAGAATATAAGTTAGCAATGCTGGGCATTTTCCAGACAGCAGGCACCTAATGTTGCCAGTCACATTATACCATTCAGCTTTTCTGTATTCCCCTCTTTAATGAATTTCTTATAGAAGAAAAAGTAGATAGATGCTATAATGGCACTTCCATCTCCCCACTAAAATTCTGCAAGGCATGACAATTAGACAGTAAAAACCCTTGCAAGAAGCACCCCTAGTCCTTATGAATATGGGTGGGGAGAAAACCACTACAATAGGGCCTGAATTTCTCCCTCCAGCATCTCCCCTGAGAGCAACAATGATACCTTCTAAATTTCCTTGGCATGGGGCCATAGCTACAGAGACAGTGACTAATTTTTTTCTTTCGTTGATATAATTTCCCTGACAATATTTATAGAACTTGACTGAGGTTTCCTCCTCCTCTTCTGGAATGTTCAACAGTTGAAGAGTCTTCTCTCTGGCTGCTTCTGCTCATACATTCAGTTGAATGGGAGGCAACTGGGAAAAAATAGCTTCTACAGTCAGTGGGAGTGTCTTCCATCCCTTTTATTCATTAGCAGGATTGGTTCAGTAAATAGTATTGCATTGAACTGATAGAAACAAGCTGTCTTCTAATGATCAATTTGATCAACAGGTATTAGGTACTATTGGATAGGTACTATCTGGTAGGTGGCAGTCTCTACAGCAGAGGTCTTCAAACTTGGTCCTTTTATGACTTGTGGACTTCAACTCCCAGAATTCCTCAGCCAGCATGCCTGGCTGAGGAATTCTGGGAGTTGAAGTCCACAAGTCGTAAAAGGGCCAAGTTTGAAGACCCCTGCTCTACAGCTAGCGATTGGGAACCTGTGCCTTCAGGTTCATTAGATTCATAAACTGTGCTTTCTCTAGGTGCTTTCTCATAGTATTTCTCCTTCCCCAACTTTATACCCACAATAGCAACCCTTTAAGGTAGGCTAAGCTGAGATAATGCCTGCCCCAAAGTCACTTAATAAACTTCCATAGCTAAGAGCAGACTTGAATTTGGATCTTCCTGGTCTCAAGATTATTTCATGCAATCTGCAAAACTATCCAGCTGTTTTATTTCTCCCCTTCCCTATTGTTCTGCTCCTTCTACATTCAGTGGCATAACCTAGTTCTCAATGTTTCCTTTTTATTCTCTCTCTCTGCAGTTTGAAAGTTTGGGGTTATGCAGGGATGGTAGCATGAAGCATCACTACTGTTTGTTTTACACATAATGTCAAGCAGGCCTTGCCATCTTGGTGTCCTTCAGATATGCTGAATTATAACTCTTCAGAATTCTCAGCCCACCTGACCAGTGATTTCCAACACATCTGGATAACACCAAATTGTGGACATGCTCTGAATGAAAGCTTTGTAAGCTTTAAGTCCACATGTTCTTCCCATCCTATTTCTGGCGGGGCAATGAGATGGAGAACAGGAGAAGGAATCCCTTCTGCATAAATGCTCTAAAGGTTTACTTAGCAGAAGCTATGGTTTGTTCAGACATATCATTAACTTTTGCCTTCTTCAACTTGGGCATCTTTCAAATGTGGGGACTTCAAATCCAGGAATTTATTCCAACGGCAATAGAAAATTTCAGAAGCTGAAGTCCACAGATCAGAGTGCAGTCAGTATTGTTACCTGATTCCGAGCCCAACAATGAGGAACTCAAGTTAGATACATCTCAGATATCATAATGACTGGTAGACAGCCTCTGCAAAATAAGCAATGTGGCTTTCTCCATATGGTGCTAATCCATCTTTAGCAATAAGGGAGCAAGTTCACCAAGGTTAGTTCCTGTTACTGAGCCTCAGAGAGGCTTCTTGAGTCTCTTATTAAGATTGTGATCACCATGCTGCCTCAGTTAGGGTACTGGTAAACGAGCAGAGATGACAGATTGCCCTAGCTGCAGTTACTTGACAGTGAAGCTCGACAACCTTTCTCCTACCAGCTGGAGAGCACTGACTAACAAATTGCAGAGACAAAGGACATGGCTTTGCCAGCTGCCATTTCTCTAGCAAAAACTGAAAATTTATCCAGACCTTGCCATTAACTCATAAGGCTCAAACCAATTAGTCTTCAGTAGCACCTGAGGAACTGGTGAGAAAATGACTGCTCTACTGAACATCTCCCCAATTACTTACATCAACTTTCCTCAGGCAGATGCCCTCCAAGTAGGGTGAACTTCAACCCCCATAATCACCCAGCCAGACTACAGAAACGTGCCCTACACTGTACATAAGATGATATGGGATAAACGATTCTACTTGGGAAAGCAAATTCTGCCTGCGTTGTTGCAAATTTGTACATATTAAGGATCTGGTGAACTGTACGTGCAGGAGCAAGACCAAGGAAGCTCATCTTATGTATAGTCAGACTTCCTGAAGAACTGGGCTCAGGAAAGAAGAAAGGAACAGGTTCTGAAACAGTAAAGCAGGAAAATGGCTAATTCTAGAAGAGGGGAAAGAAAAGAAAGAAACGGATTTGCAGAAGATATAAAAAAAAACAATTTCAGGTGCAATAAAGATAACCTATGTGAAAATGGTTTGCCAGAATCTTTCTAGGCTTCCTTTTTCACAGACTGTGCTGACAAGATGAATTTAATAAGCCAAGACAGAGAAAATCAGTCACAGCTTCCCTTTTTGCAGATCAGCAAACTGGAACAAAGGTTCCTGATAATGCACTCAATGCTTTCAAATTTCCAATGGTCACCATAAAAATCAGCACTCCATCACTATGGAAGTAAGATGGAAGGGACAGCAAAGAATGATGATTCCTTATTGTAAGTGGAATTTTCCCTGCTTGCCCCAGTTTTTTATTGAGTCAGTGGAGGATTAAGGGCTGCTTCCTTCAGCTGTTTCTCTCTCATACATAAACAGAAATCGTTTAAGAAATCGTTTTCTGACTTTCATCCCCTTTCCTCATTTTGG